AGATGAGCCAAAGTTTAACAGGCTTGTTAGAGAAAGTGATTAAGGTCCGAAAGAGCAAAGGTGCAGTGTTTGAATCATGTCTAGAGCTGTCTTTTGTGCCCGTGACTCACCATCAGCATCCTTGCGGCAAGCAAAAGTTGTGCTATCCTGAACACTTCCTTCAAAAGCCACGAAATCCGCCATGCTTTGCTCAAGCAATTTTTTCTACTACTGGCCAAACCGCATTTTTTCAGGTTATTATGGTAGGATTTTCGGATATTCGACGAGGACATGTGGTATGCATTATGGGACCGATGTTCAGTGGAAAAACGTGAGTCTTGGGTAACCGCAAATGAAGATCATTTATGAACTTTTCGTTTGAAGGACCGAATTAATTCGTATGCACGATCGGTACAGAATCGCTGGCAAGAACTGCGTTCTCGTGAAGTCCGCGGCGACCCGTCGTTCCGACCCAGAGACTGATCGTCACATACCAGAGGTCACATATTTCCGTGTTTCTAATCGCACAAGTTTGTCATTGAAATGCCGTTTATTTATTATATTATATTCTTATCCTCCTTCTGCGAGCAAAGTTTTATGCCACTGAAGGAGAAAATTCTCAAAAATCTTGAGTTCGATTTGAGTTTCGCGTAAGCGCGGTTGAAACGAATAACTTCTTGTTATTCACTATTATATTTATTAGATTGTTTCCCCGTCAACCGCCGGCACCCTTCTTCCCTGCTAGGCTTTAAGTCTACCGCTGTGGTCCCTTCCATCTATGACACCAACACCCCGTGGAGGTGAAGCGCATGCAGCAAAAAGGGGAGTTCCCCAAGAGGCCCGTCGCGCGGCGAAGGAAGAGACGCAGATGCGGCAAAGGACGAGTCGCAGCGCGTGCTGTGCGATATGAGACGTAGTATGGTACACTCTATTTAACCTGACGCCTAACCGCTACAGTATGCGCTGCGACTCGTCCTTTGCCGCGTCTGCGTCTCTTCCTTCGCCGCGCGACGGGCCTCTTGTTGGACACCCACCTAAAAAGTTTCATGTAGCATAGGGCGTCGCAATAATCATAACATGACGTTAGACTGGCATATCAATACCTTAGCTGCAGCTTACAAGGGAGGTCGTTCAGGGTGTGCCAAGCTTTTTCAAAATGGTTTCTTGCATGACATTGGGGCACATGTGGGACCACAGAACCATGGTTCATTTTTCCTGAACGGCCCTCTGAATACCAGAAAAGGGGGTCCCTAGTTCGATTCCTCGTGGTGACAAATTTTTGCATTTCGAGTTGACGTTCCAAAATTCGCGCAAAATGGAGTTAGCATGAATAATTAGTACCATATTCATGATTAGGACCGTCAGTTGGACCCCTTACCATAGAACGTTTTATTAAAAAACTGGTGAAAAGGTGTGACAACCAAAACGGCCACACTGGAACGTCAACTCGGAATGCAAAAAGCCATGAAGAATCAAACTAGGGACCCTCTTTTCTGGTACTTGGAGGGCCGTTCAGGAAAAATGATTCATGGCTTTGTGGTTCCTAATGGCCCAATGTATGTCAAGGACCTATTTTGAAAAGCTTTGGGGCACACCCCAAAGGAGCCTCCCTTGTTAGATCTGTTAGATGATTGGTTCTTGCCCCTCCTCCACATCCCCCTTCCTCCAGCTTCACTGCAGCATATGATGACCGGATGTACTCAGTGCTGTTTACATGGCCTTAGGGGTGTTGTCACAATTATCCTTTTACAAAAATATTGATAGTTCGAGTCCTGCCAGCTATCCGATTCTGTTAGCGGTTGTTTGTTCCATTAGCTCCTTATCACTCACTCTATTTTGTGGACGGATGACACAATACTCCATGCATACAATACATAGTACTACAAACGCCACAACCAAGTTACGTCTATAAAAAGGATGATTACCTGTTCAAGGAGGTCTGGCACCGGCAGGACTACCGTCGGCTTCTGTTGATGATGAATCATCTGAAGGAGGGTTAGTTCGATGATCCGGACATACTCGGAAAGACGTCATCGAATTCCCAGCCTCGACTGCTCCAGATTTGTAAACGCACGGCATCCATACCTTACCCTGCCGGAGGGCTATATGTTGGTGATTGGGGCATACCTTGTTGATTGTTAACCTGTGCTAAAAAGGAAATGTGAAAAAATGAACTGCGCAAAGGCTTTTCCGAAAACCAAATATAAGAGCATTTCGTCGAATGTTATTTTCCTTTTTACTAGAGTAACGAGGCGAAATATATTGCAGGGTGACAGCCGATGGAGCAACTTTGATAGCGAGGACGTTGCGGGAGATTAGAGCCGAGCTGTTTGCATTGGAGACTGAAGTGATTGCCATCGATGAAGGACAATTCGTATGTCACCAATTCCGTTGAAAATTCTGTTAGAGGTGGCGGTAGCACGAATGCCGGTGATGAAAGCCGTCACGAGACACTATTGTAGAATCGAGTACCACCGATACTTCTGCCAAACAACTTACTTTGCAAGCCCTAGCGATCTTGTCGGGTGATTTCCGTGCAGAGAAGCCCCATATCTGCGATTGTTCTCTAGGGTCTATCCTACAGACCGAAGGAAGTCGTTCACAGATTTTTGTGTGGATTGTGCCTTTAACTAATCTTATTCCCATTTTTCATGTTGCTAATTGATGCAGTTACGGTTACAAAAGTTGCAAGAGCTGCACTCTCACACTACATGCTTTGCTATTCAGTTTGACGACTTATCGTACACATGCGAACAACTTGCATGCGAAGGGAAATTGGTATTGGTTGCTGCGCTTGACGGGAATTTCCTTAGGAAGGCAAGTACAAAGATCTGAGACACACTTTGGAACATTAATTACTGTGTAGGGTACTTGTTTAGCTTATATTTATGTCCTAGTTGATATTGTCTATTCCAGCCGTTCGTCGAAGTATCGCAGTTGATTTCGTTCAGCGATGAAATCAAGAAGCTGTCAGCAGTTTGCATGGATTGCGGTGACGACGCACCGTTCACATTCAGATGCACCAACGAGAGAGAAGTTTGATACCTTATCTTTTCCTCGTATATAACTGAACCACAATAGGCCGATGTCATAGTTTGCGAATCGAGCGATTCGCTAGCGAATCGCTGGATCCGAGCGTTGCGCCAGCGAATCGAACGTTGCACCAGCGTCGTATAACTTCGTATAATTTCCTTGTATACAGGGTGGGCAAAAATTACGGTAACAAGATAAAGTGTTCATGGAAAAGCAATTGCGGCCAGCAAGACACACGTGGACCCCAACAATGTATTCATAGGAAGGTCACCAGACAGAATACAACATCACTTCTTGGACTGGCCGCTGTTTGCGTTTATACCTGAATGAAGTCATCTCGGGAACGCATATGGCCTGTTGTGTAGGTAGGTGACATCGAGCTTACCCTCAGCGCCTTCTTTAGTCCAGTCGATGCTTTAGTGATACTCGTAGTAGCCCATCGTCTTCAGTAGACTCCACGGAAAATAACCCACTTGTTTTTAAATGGGAGAATAAGGTTGCCCACTCGTTCAATGTCATGAATTCGGAAAATTCTGCAAAACCAATGTTGCACAATATTTGCTTTGTGTACAGGCGGTCTACCTTGCTGGTGTGTCCAGTGATTTCTCTCCGGGGTCTCTTCAGCCAGGATGCATTTATTAGGTTCGAAGAAATCGAGATGTTTTGTTAGCGCTCTTGTTACCGTAATTTTTGCCCCATATAAAAACGTATAACTTTGACCGTATAACTTGAAACCACACCTTAAAGGCAAGATTCAAGCTTAAACTGATGAGGTAATTCTACTCAAATGTGATGTAGGGGTGGGAGGTGGACCGCCAGTGGAGAAAAAAGGAAAAAATCGTGAAATACACAGGAAATACGAGCCTTTTGCTCTACGTTGCGGAGTCTTCGGCGCGACTACTTGCGACTCACGACCCAGGATTTGATCGCTCGCAGACCGCTCGCCGTGGTTGAGCGTGGCACCTGCTCTCTACACCACTTGCGCCCCAAACGAAAATATTATTGCCACAAAAGGAAAGGCCAAAAAGAGTTTCTAGTGAGGCACTCCGAGAACCAAGTGGAAGCGTTTCCGTCGCCAACATTTGTGACAGATGTCCGGCGGGAATTTGAACGCGTAGCAGTCCTTAGTTTTTCGAATTGTTTACCAAAACAAATGCAATTTTTTGTTCTTTTCGTTCTTATCGTGAATGATGGGTCTCAAGCCAGTGATTTGTGGGTAAGGTAGGATGATGGTTTTATCGTGGTCGATTCCTTTAAGTCCATACAACAACTGGACCATGGCAATGCAGCTGAGCCTAGGAGAACAAGTATTATAATTTCATGATTAATCAGTATTTTTTCAGGTTGAAGTAATCGGTGGCGAGGACACGTATCGAGCACTTTGCAGAACTTGCTATTACACACGTTCCATTGAAAAGGACTGCAAACGTTCTAGAAGAGGATGAGAGTTATGGACGGAGATAGCGCCTTTCTTGATTATTTATATGGCTTGTAGGGTCTATTCCAGTAAGGGAAGATTTGATACAGTAGTTGTTGGCGCAATACGGTAATTTCAACTTTGGAGGGGAATGAAGCTCACCATCGGCTGAGAAGCCGATGAGTGTCCTCCTTTGAACTTTCATAACAGTAGAAAATATCTGAACTTTCATAGTAAAATTCCCCTTATTGGAGCAGACCCGTATTGTTTACGCCTATTTATTTATTCAATTATACTAATAGGTGAGCAAAGTGATCGATAAAGTATAATACATTTTGCATGAAGAGTCCTGGACGAAAAGAAACAAGAGGATCAACAAAATTGCACATGGACTAGTGCATCCTATTCACTGACGACCTTTTGGCGCTATGTGAGTTGGGGGGACCAAGCGGCGCGGCTGTTGGCACTCTGCCGGTCTGGCAAGCGAATGGCACTAAGTCTGATCCTAGGGAGGAGGCTCAAAAGGGCTAAAAGTTGGATTGTGCCAAATCACAAATCACGCTGTTTACGGCCCATCCGCTCCTTCCTGAAAAGTGAAAATCGGTTGAGGATTTGTCGACGACTCGTCGAAGATTTTCGCCTTTTCAATCACCCTCTCCTGGGCATTTTCAGATCTCCTCGGCTGTTATTCACCCTGCTTCCTAGGCTCAGGTTCAGTGCCATTGCACTTGCCAGACGAGCAGAAAATGGAGCCGCCACGTGGTCCCCCCCCAACTCACTTAGGAGCGACCTTGTTTCCGAAAACCCGTGCCTTATGCGCCTTAATTGGAAAAGAAAGCGAAATATGGTGGAACGGTGTTAATTTTCTCGCGATTACGCGATGAGTTGCGCGTTTCCCAGGTGGGCGGCAAACATCAAGGCGAATCGATCGATTACTGGGTGGTTCAAGTGATTGATGTTACCGACCCATTAGTTACTAAGTGAACAACTTTCCAGACGCTCTAAGCGGGTCAACGAGGACAGACGGTCCGATCCGAGCACACAGCAACGCCACAAATTTGACATTATTTATAGTACATACACACACGCACAATTGCACAATCACAAACACAATATCGTAGTTAGTTTTTTTTTCTTCCGAAATTCTTCAAAATAGACGTGATCTCTGATCGGATTAAATTGATGTGCGGAATCGAAGTGAGAGGTCTCTTTGGCCACATTCTCTTATTGTTGAGTGGTCGTACTCTCCGCCGACCGCCTCTTCTGAAAGCAAGTCCTTTTTCCTGAGTCCGTTCCAGAAAAAAAACCGAAACAATCAATAGAAAAGCAAAAATGTTATCGATTCATTGATTGCTGCACAATATCAGAATTTTACCAAGTTGAGTCAACCGCCGCGTTCACACTTTTCCAAATATTTTGCGCCCTCCCCCCCCCCCCTCGGTATGAGGCCGTCCCTTCACTACCATCACCTCCAGAGGGCACCCTCAATAACGACCGCGCTACCTTCTATCCACAACCCGTAGGTGTTTCTATATTTCTGACTCTGGGACCAGTCGACATGCTTCTACTCTGCTTTCCTCTAAAATAGCCGTCGAGCAAGGGGAGAAGTGTGGGGGGGGGGTCGAAAAGGTGAGTGAGAGTGGGAATGGACGAACCTCACTTGAGAAATGGCAAATGCTCCAACTTCATTAACTTCGCGCTTCTCATTAAGGCTTGCGCCAGAAAACCGTCGTAATCCCACTCTCCCGCTCACACTACCCCTTCAACTTCCACAAACATAACCCCCTTTTTCACACTTTCAAATCCATAAACCTATTCAACCCCAAACGCGACGCTTCCACCCCACCCTTCCACATTTCGGAGACCAAAAAATGCAACCCCCTTGTTCAATAGCTGCGAAAACGGACGCGAGTGACCCCGTTGACCGAGGAGTGGACTTTTGATTACAGAAAGCCTTGACCACCTGGGACCGCTGAACTGGATCACTTTGCGAGGTAGCAAGGCAGCGATATCATTGGCTAATCCGGGGACTGGGCTATACCGTTCACCGCGGTACTTGCTTGCCCCGATCAAGTCCCCGAGCACTTGGGCTCAAAGCAATCACCTTTATGGGAGTGGCTGAGCGCAAATCTGAGTCGGGCGCATCCAACTCCCCGTTATCATTTTTTCCATGATTATTTCTGTTGGGAAAACTCGTGAGCGCAGTTAGAGCGTCAAATTTCAGACGAGCATCCAGAAACCGCTTGGTAGGCTTGGACGCCAAGGATTAAGCCCAGGAAAGGAGAGAAGCGCCGGTCGGACAAAGAGTTCAACGTTCCCCCTCCCCTGCCCAGAATCACTTTTCTCACTTAAGTTTGGTGCTTATTCTGCGTAGGTTGCTATTCACATTCAATGCCGCCCACCCCTCCCCACGCATGAGCGCTTTTTGGTTTGTTATGCAAAAGCGTTATGTAGTGAGAATCGAGCCGCAGTCCCTCCTTCAAATTTCTTTTCCTGAATAGTTTATTGCCCTTCGATTGGAAAATCTCGAGCATTCCCAGAACCGTTTTGAAAAACGATCCGCTCCTCGTTAGCAATGATTCACTGCCTAATGGCCGGATTACTGTAGTTGGTTAATTACGGTCTTATGATTGCGTCAGTACGCACCGGGCTGGCTTGCCTCCAATAACAATGCCCAATTGCATTAAAAACACAAAAAATCTATTTTTCAAACTAACCGGAGGTCGTTCTCCTGAATGCCAACGCAGATGTGCTTTCAGGTGACTGCTTTTGTTATAGACCTTTCCACAGCCGGCGATATGGCAATTGTGAATACCTCGTTTTTTCACCGGCACGTTATTGATTCCTGAAAAAGGCGCTAGAATTGAAGGCGGAGCGTGGTCTGGCCTGGGTTTTTGAGCTCCAGCTATCTCTTTCTGTCTATCTTGAGCTGATAGATATGCATGAGACAGCAACACATTATAGCACACCGCGAATAAGATAGGATCGCTGAATGGCTACTGATCGGCAGCGATAGCCGTTAGCGAAAAGCGTTCCGACACGATTAGGACTGAACGTCACGGATTAACACCCATCGACACTGAGGAACATTCCGAAAGGATTCACTATGAGCGATTTGCTCTACGAATGCTATTTTTGTCGCTTTGAAAAATACGAAAAAAACTGCTGTACATTTAAAATGCCATAGTGGTTCAAAACTTTGCTGACATATTGAATTTGAATGTGCCAGAGGTGTAAAAAATTAGTACTTCATAGAGATTTGTTCGTGAGCTGAATAGCTCTCTAGAGATCTTCCTCTGGCCTCATTCACAAAACGCTCTGAAAAGGGGTTCCAGTGTGCCCAATCGTTGACTTATCAGGCACATAACAAGAATGAGTCCAGTTCCGAGGACTACAATGATGGAACTTCGGCTCCATTCTCTAATGATCAAACTCTGCTCCATTTTGAAAGCACTGAACAAGGGAAAAATTTGAACCTTCACTATTAAGACCTTTGAAGCACAAGGCTTGAAAGCTATCAGCATATAGTAGCTACATAAACCAGATCTGTTACTGATACCGTGGCCTGTTTCCTAGTATCCTCTACGGGGTCCTCGAAACCGCCGTTACAGGCACAATAGTTCCAGCAAAAATAAACGATAATTAGCGACCAGGCTATAGGAAACTGAGGAGACTATGCTTAGCTCAAAGAGGACAGTCACGATCGAGGGTCTATTTCGGAGAGGGGTCAGCTAATTCCCGATGGTTTCTGCAGGAACGTGCCAGACTCCTTAAACTACAGCTTAGAGTGAAGTCTACCAATCAGTCAACTGATTGTACGCAATCTTCGAACAGTTGTCTAAGCAAATTTAGTTCAAAAGAGCTATTCAAAATTCCTGTGGAAACGCTAAACTGTAGAAATCCGTAGAATAAATTATGTCGATGTCCACTACTCGGCCTCCCAAAGGAACATACCACACGAAACCTTGTTGTCCATGGCATCCATCGATATAAGCGATTTTGTGGGGTACCAAAAAAGGTTTGAGTGTTCTTTCAAAAGTATTACTTATTCGCTTTATGAGTGAAGAAACAGACGCGAGCAAAGCCAACTCTTCAGTTCA